ACGCGCGGGGCACCTCCCTCTTCGCGTACCCCATCCACGACCTCCTCGCGGGGCTCCTTAGCGGGCGGTTCGGGGAGGGACGGCCTCACCCGCGTGCGGTGTCCTGGGCCCTCCGTGTGGAGGACCCGGGGGACTGGGTGGGCCTCGGCGTCGGGGTCGGCACCCCGCTCTCGGAGTGGCAGGCCGGCCGCTCGAATGACCTGAGCCACCTCTGGATTGCCCCTTGTGGGGTCAGCCCTGACACGGGCGTCGGACCAGAGGGCGGGAGACCCGACCGAGGCGTGACACCCGAACGGGGCCCGAGACCAGAAGCGCTGGGGTACGCGCGGAGGACGGGACGCGAAGGGGCCACCTTCGTCCTCCGTGTCACGGTGGACGGCGGGGTCAGGTACGCGCGACTCGCCGTCTACGACGCCGCGGGCCGGCAGGTCGACGACGGCGGCATCCCACGCTGGAACGCGACCCGGGTCTGCTACCCACAGGTGACCTTCGGTGGGAGGATCGGGCGGGTCCGGATGGTGGTGCAGCCCCATCTCGTGTAGCGGGGGTACCCCCCCTCCGGACGGGTTCCCAAGCGTTTAGGATTGGGATGGGTGGTCCCACGCGGGGTGTTTTTGCCGGGTGAAACCCTGTTGGGTTATTTTTGGGTAATCGTTTAGTTGATTTTTTTTCCTTCGTTAGGATTAGTCCTCCGTTCAATAGTCTTTCCCCCCTCTTTTTGCGCCACTATTCTTGACATTCTTGAAGTGGAGCAAACACCTACATCAGAAGTTCAAGGGACACAAAGATGCACCAAGCTCCTCAGGTTAAACAACATTATTTTTTCCCGAGTCCTAGTTTCTGTGTATGGCCCTCCCTGCACTATCAAGAGTTTTTTTTTTTTTTTAGAGAGGGATGGAGAGAAGTTTTCGGTTGCCGATTTCAAGAATTGCGTCCATAGCTAATTTGCCATGATAATTGTTAGAGCTACACTTCGAGCTAAACCTTTTATTACTGTTGTGCATTTAGAACAGATCTTTTGTTTTAGAGTGCGGTTCGCTTGAAGGGCTTCATTACCGTCCCGTCATACCGTTTTTCTTGCATTAATCAGTTGCCCGTCCAGGAAACTATTTTTAATGGATATTAGCCCGTTATTATTGTTTTTGCTATCATTTCTTGTAATATTTATTTACGATACACACGTGTTCTTCTTTGAAGAGGGGGCCTTGCCGGCAGCACACAATTAGGATTCAGTCTGTAAATTATCCACTAAGTTATGTATAGATATATAGATCTATATGCACGTAATTTGAGGTATAGGACCCCTTGTGCTGGTCTGCGAAACCAATTTCCTAAAAATATAATCTCTGTGCGCGTTGGTGGTGCCTCAGGAGAAAGAGGGGAGGGGGGATTGTTGCGAAAAAAGATTTAGAGTCCTTCAGCTCATTAAACACTTAGTGGTACGGACTTAAGGTAGTGATACCAAGCGCGTCATGACAGTTATGGAGACATTACACTTATGCTTTTGGATAAAAATAGACATTATGGCAACTTGTTTATTGCAAGCGTACCTGAATTTAGTTAGATACGAGGTCCTTGATATTGAAGATAAATCACAAAACTCTTTATTATATATAACTCGTCTGTACTGATGCGTATATATAGGTATACCTCTAGATGTGGCGAAAGCTTTCAAATGATCATCTAACATTCAGTACTTTTCATGTTTCTTTCAGATGTCTCTTAAAGTATATAATCACTTTAAGAAGGAATGCTAAACCGGTATCTCACTGTAAAGGAATTTAGCTTAATATCGTGGGATTAAGGGTTCGAGAATTAAGAGAGTCCGGCCTCCTAATTCTGTCATACCTTTTTAAAAAAATTTACTATGCCATTTTTTGGAGTTGATGACGTTTTACTTCTTTTAGCGTCAACTACAGCGGTGTTATGGGCTAAGCGCGCCGATATTGTCCAGGCCAGCGTCTACCGTGCTGTCAACTTCATGACACATAGTCCTATTCTGGCCTCTAAATACGCTAACGAAGCGGCCCGCAACCATCATGAGCCACCGCTATTATTACTGAAGGGGTTTGACCTACAAACGGCGAGGAAGAGCGTGGGACCGACTGATTTTTTCAAAAGGCTTCCCGCTCTTGCATCTGATGGGCTGAGGCCTAGCCGGATGTCTTATGATGAGCCGCGCAAGGGTCTGGTGCGGACAAGTCTTGTTAACGAATACAGCGAGTGCTCAGCAACACACGAGGTGCCTGACGTCCCTCATCGACGCTATAATCCCTACAAATCAAATCCAAACGTAACGGCACTGATCGATTATTCTGAAGAGGAGGTTGCGGAGAACATTCGTAGATATTCCGTCGCGGCGGTGCATAGCCTCTTCACAAAAATGGAGTCTGAGGCGAACTGGGAGGCTGTCATCCGCGTCAGTCGGGGGATCGATCGCGCGCAGCTACGTCTGAGGTACTTAACTAAATCGAACGTCGAGGCGGCGCTACGTGTTTTAATATCTTGTGCTACGTCGACGTCAGAACCCGCTATACGATCCGATTTCCCTCTTACGTACTACTTTACTTTTGCGGAGGATATGCTTTTGGACGATGGTATCATTATAGCGCTGTTCGATCTCAGTCGATACAGCGAAGCGGCGAGTATAGAGCTGTACAAGAGCCTTCTCCCATTCCAAGCAGAGTGGTCGCCGGCGGTGTATGCCTGCAGCCTCACCACAACCGCTCGTTTTAGCTACGATAAAACCCTCAAGTTGTACGAGGAATACCTTCAAGCCCAGAGACGAGGCGCGTGGACATCCAACGCGCTCCTTCGGCCTATTAAACAGGCGCTGGTGTCGTCTTCGGTGATGCAAGAGGACGAATCCTTGCCTTCCCGCGATGTGGAAGCCATCAGGCTGCAGTATCTTTACCATATCATGATCCCCCTCGTGGTGGCGCGCGATCCTGCGAGAGCAAAACAGTTCATCGCTGACATGTTGGCACACGATCCTGAATCCGCACCAGATGTGTTTCTCAAGTGCCTTGCGAACGATATTGGGAAGGAATTCGCAGAAACCTATCTTAAAAAAACACTAGCAAAGAAGAATGGGGGTGCCGATGGTGCCTTGCTGAACCTTAACCACTCATGCGAAGGGGGATCGAGTCAGATCAAAACGGATCGGTGTGCTTTGGCATATTCCTTGTATACTTTGAAGCCCTCCGTGATGAATTTGAACTCCTTGCTAAAGGTGATTTTGCGCGCCGAGGCGATGGAGGGCAGCGCTATCCGCAGCTTACCGCAGTCCTGGGGCCGTGGCGTCTTTGAATCCGTTCCTTTGACCTCCTCGCAGGAGGCGCTTATTCTCGCGAGGTCTATTACGGAGCATCCCGCCTCCCACGCGGTTGCCGAGGTATTTTTGGAGGCGATGATGCTCCGTAAGCAGTTTGTGGTGGTCCCCATTCTCGCGTTTCACGTGGCCAGTCAGGGTCGTTGGGCGACGGCCTCGCGGGCGATGGCTATTTATTTGAGCAATCAGCGCGGGCGGTTTTCGCAGGAGGAGATTAGTTTGTGTGTGGAGGCCGCCGTCTACGAGGGGAACTGGAGCAGCGCGCTTTTCTGGGTTGAGCGCGCTCACGCGAAGGGCCTGAAGCTGCCTGTTCGAATCTACGATACCGCCTTTAGCGTGAGCCCGCACTGGAGCTGGAAGGCCGCATGGCAGGTGGTGAAAGACATGCGTGCGGTGGGCGGCGTCTGCTCTAACGATGGCGTGCTCCATCTTCTGCAGGCCGCGACCGAGCAAGGAGCGACCGCCGAGGTGTTGCGTGAGCTTTCAGGTGCGTCTGGGGTTGATTGAGCGAGGTGGAATCCCGCGTTGGCTCGTCAAAGCTCCACGTGATGCGGGAAAAAGAAAGCGAAATAACACCCGTATTTCCAGTGCTACAGCAGCTTCATGTATATTACTTTATATTATGGGCTTTTTCCTGGGAAAAAAATGTACGATTATGTTTGTTTCCATCGGTTCTCTTATTTTTCTTGCTATATTTATTACTATTATTTTTCCAAGGGAGCTTCTAAGTCGAGGATGTCTTGTGTTCTGAGCTCGCTGGGCGACTTGGCTCCATTTATTTCTCATACCGTGTTTACCAAAGTTCAAGAGCGGGTGATCCCGGCGCTGATGGAAGGGAACGAAAATGCCGTCATCGCGGCGCCAACCGGGAGCGGTAAGACTCTGCTCTTGGAGGTGGCCATCCTGCGTTTATTTCGCCCCCGCCTATTATCCTCTAGATCCTCCAACGTCGGATCGAGGCGTGTGTCGGAAACATCTCCGCCGATCCCGACCTCCTCGTCATCCGCGAAGGCGGTTTACATTTGCCCGATTAAAGCCCTGGCGAATGAGAAATACACGCATTGGAAAAGCATGTTTGCGCCCCTCTCGGTGGTGATTGAGACCGGCGATCAGGATCGGCAGCGCTCGGCGGATGAAAACCTCGCGGAGGTCTCCACGGCAGATCTTATCCTTACCACCCCGGAGCGCTGGGATAGTATCACGCGGCGATGGCGAGAAAAGGAGGTTCTCGGCATCGTCCACTCCGTGGAGCTGCTTCTCCTGGATGAGGTTCATACCGTTCATGAGGATCGCGGCGCTGCCCTGGAGGCGGTTGTCAGCCGGATGAAGGCGATTAAATCCGCCACGCAGCAGCAAACACGCCAGGGTGGGGATCCGCGTCATAAAGGAACCTCCGTGCGCTTTGTAGCCACAAGCGGAACGCTCCCCAATATAGGGGATTTCGCGGAGTGGCTGCAGGCTCCATCGCACATGATCTTTTCCTTTACTAATCAGGATCGCCCGGTTCCTTTATCGATCAAGGTGATTGGCTTCACGAGCGATACGAGCAACCCTTTTGCGTTTGATCGCTTCCTCTCGTTTAAGCTCTTTGGGCTGATCCGACAGTACGGGGATGGCAAACCGGCGATGGTGTTCTGTGCATCTCGCAAAGAGACGGTTTCGTCCGCGCAGCGCATCCTGCACGATATCTGCGAGCTTGCGAAATCCGAGGGCCGTGAGGAATGCCTGCGGCCGAGTCCGGAAGTTCAGGAGATGTGCAATCAAACCCACGATCGGCAGCTTCGCGAGTGCTTGGCGATGGGAATCGCCTACCACCACGCGGCGTTGAGCTTTCCAGATCGCCAGCTGGTTGAGAAGATGTTCAAAGAACAATACATCTCAGTGTTGTGCACGACCACGACCTTAGCCCTCGGCGTGAATCTCCCCGCGCATCTCGTCGTGATCAAAGGCACGACGTTCTTCAAAAGCGGCAAACGAGAGGACGTGCCGCTATCCGAGGTCGCGCAGATGTGTGGGCGCGCGGGAAGACCCGGCATGGATGACTCAGGGGTCGCGCTTATTCTTACCACCGAATCGAAGGTGAGCATGTATGAATCCCTCCGACATGGCGACGCGTACGCGACGGTGGAAAGTCAGTTTCACCGGCATATGGTTGAGCACGTCAACGCCGAGGTCGCGCTGCGCACCATTCACAATTTTACCTCAGGGCTGAACTGGGTTCGAACAACCTTTTTCTGGATTCGTTTGAGCAAGTGCCCTCGGCATTACGGCCTCAGGTTCGCAACGAGAGAGGATGAAAACGCATTCTCGCCGGAGTTGTTTATCGAAACCTTAATGGAGCGCGTCCTGCAGGCACTTTATGAGGAGGGCTGTATTGAGCTTCGTAATGGGCGAATCCACCCCGCGACGGCGATTCCCGCCGCTCCAATATTCAGCAGCTCCGCGGATGTGGCGAAGGACGCGTCGCTTTTGTCGTCATCGCATCCCATGCCGGGCATTGGGGCGTTTGATCGCGTCGCGGTGGTGGGCAGCTCTCGCCTTGGGCGATCCATGGCTCGTCTGTACATTTTATTCGCCACGGTGCAAACCTTTAATGAGGAGATGCGCGCACGACGGAACGCATCGGCCGCTGCCCTCGAGCCTTCGGCGAGTAAAGAGGAAGAAAGGAACGCGCCGGATCAGGCCGCGGGGTTGCCCAACGTCGCGAAGCCCTTCAAAATGCGCTTCCAGCTGCCAGACGTGCTCCGACTCCTGAGCCGCTCCGAGGAGTTTGCCGAAATCCGCCTCCGACTGGGTGATCGTGGGCACCTGAACGAGCTGAATAAACGCGTTAAATTCCCTCTCCAGAGTGGAAAGCGAGGCGGCCGTGAGGTTCGCGAGGATTGGCATAAAACCTATGTTCTCATTCAAGCCCAAATCGCCCAGCTTCCCAACCCCGACGTCTCCTTGCGCAACGACTGCGTGCGGCTTTGGTCGCTCGTACCCCGAGTATCGCGTTTTACCTGCGATTACGCGTGGGCGACCGGCTCGTTTTCCTTCGCGACGCAGAGCGATTTGCTGCTCCGCTGCATTGAGCAGCGCGTGTGGCCGGACGGGCTCCTCCTCCGCCAGCTCGACGGCGTCGGCGAGGTCGTCGCCAGCGCCCTCGCACGGGCGGGCTACCAAACTTTCCAGAGCCTTTCTGACGTCGAGCCGCGGAGGTTGGAGGTGATTTGCGGCCGATTGCCCCCTTATGGGGCGCAGTTGCAGAGCGTAGTGAGAGCGATCCCGACCTGCGAGCTCATCGTGCGGCGAGAGCAGCCTTCCCCGTGCGGCGGAGGGGACGTGCGCATGGCGCGCCCCCCGATCCGAGGTAGAAATTTCAGCATTACCGTGAATCCCACTACATCAGCCACGACGACTCCCCTAAATCCGATTTCCTCCGCTGGGGGCTTACCGGGATGGAAGAAGAACCGCATCGAGACCTTCCTGTTGGTGGTGGGCAGCGTCACGTCCGATCAGATTCTTATCCAGCGCTTGCTGCCCGTTCGCTCCATCTTCGCCGCCTCAGAGTCGGCTCAACACCCCACCAACAGCAACGCTTCTTCGCATACAACAACTCCCCCTTTGAGTTTTCAGTTCCTCGTTCCGGCCGAGCTGCTGGCCTCGCCGCCCTGCCTGCTCGAAGTCCATTTGATCGCGGAGCATTGGGTGGGCAGTGATGTGGTCTTCGCCATCGACGCGGCCGCGGACGAAACGGAGTTTCGGAGCAGCACGCGGACGGGGATCAACGTCTCCGTGGGGGAGGGTGCCTCTCGCATGATGATGGAGAAGTTCCTGAAGAAGCCCAACTCCTCCCCGGCCGTAAAGCGCACGAGGGACGATCGCGATCCTGCTACCCCTCCAACTTCGCTCTCGACGACCGCGAAAGCCCTACCAGTCGAGGAGGGGAGGGAGGGGCTCTACGCGGAGGTCGCGAAGGTGGCCAGCGCGTCCTTTGCGGAGCTCTTGCGGGATTTGGCGTACATCCACGAGTGTCCTTCCAAAGGGCAGCCGAGGCGGCGTAGCGGCAAGGCAAAGGCGATCAAAGAGCCCGGCGAGGAGGAGCCTTCTGGCCCGACGCCGTCGACCACCGCCGGGCCCCTTGACGAAGTCCCTTTTGCGCCCTCCACCGGTGGTTTTGCGGATTCGATCCCTCCCGCAAGGGAGGCGGACAATCGTCCTTTCCTCTCGCAGGACGCGGCGGCTTCGTTGGGGGCGCCATCCCCAAACGGGGCGGCCGAGCCCTCCCAACAAGATCTTGAAAAGGCCGAGGAGGAAAGCGGAGGAGGGGCCGAGGTCTCCCGAGAACACCCTGCGCAAGGAGAGCGTCTGTCGGGGGTAGGGTCCGAATGCGGGTTGGGGGTTTGCGGGGGCGGGCAGGTCCACCCGCGTCGTGGCGAGCCCCCCTCGTCCTCCCTGCAAGCCGCCTTTCCCCCTCGCCCCCGGGGCGTCTTTTCGTTGGATGGCCGCGGCGGCCCCCCCGCCCACGCGTTTTGTCGCCCCCGTCGTTTAACTGGCGGCCCCC